GGCCACAGCTCCGAACGGCCGCATCGACAATGGAGGTGGAGAATATGGTCCACTCAGACTCAATATCTCCAGCCTCCCCTGGGATCTGGTCAAAGCTCTGCCGGAGGCGGGAGTTGAAGACAGACAGGGGATTCTGCTAAACGTTCCCAAATAAAATGTCATCAATTTTAAAACAGTCATTGCATTTTCCCAAAATGATGTATTTAAGTGTTTTATTTTGTCTGACCAACAGTCCTAAGCTCAAACATATTCAGTTCAGTAACTCAGGTGATTAACAGATGATCAAAATATTTGTTAATTTTTTGTTGATGATCTTCTATTGATTGAGATCTTTGAGCTCTGTCTAAGGTTTTTTATGTAAATACCAAGATAAATGTTTTTGGACATTTGTGTTGTTTGAGATGAGACTCTTGTATACAAACTCCAGATCTTTCACTTTGACTGTGTGATTAACAGCTGGCTGTGTGTTGTGTGCTTTGCCCTCCTCTTCTCAAAGCTGAACTCCCCCCTCCTTACACAGCCATCGCCAGCCCCGACGCCGGCGGTGTGCCTGTCATCAACTGCCGCATATGCCAGTCGCTCATCAACCTGGATGGAAAGCTGCATCAGCACGTAGTCAAGTGCTCGGTCTGCAATGAGGCCACAGTAAGTGGAGGCCACTGTTGAGATGGGCAACAGCTGTATATGTGATCACTGGTGCAGACATCACTGAGTTGTAGTTGTCTTTCAAGCTGACATTTAGTCTTCTGTTGGATGTGAACTGCTTGCCATTCCTATTCCCTCCTCTTCTTTCCCATTTTGTAGGCTCAATTTACAATTCACCCCTTTGACAATCTAATCACACAGGCATTTTCTGGCACATCAGTAACACCAGCTGCATCGTGTCTAGTTCTCTATTATGATGCAGCATTATTTTGTGTGATAAAATGTGATTTGTCAGTGATCACAAGGGAAACCTTTTGCTTTTGGATTCTGTTTGCAGTGTTCACCTTTAGGGCCTGACCAGATGTTTACAGTATGTAGACATAAGCATGCCATCTGACTGGAATGTGTTGCCCATGTTCCAGCCTGTTAGCTCTAAACAGGCTTTAAACATTCTTCTCAAATGACAGAGGACATAATATGGAGATTTGAAGTTGATGGGGGAGCCAATATACTGTATATTTCATGAGTTAAAGGCACAGCAGTGTATCTGCCCTACAAGGACTGAAAAGCGTTGCTCTGTCACCTCTACAGTGTCTAAATCAACTGCTCTTCTCTACTGTGGCTTCGTTTTTATGTTCTGTATCAGACTGGTAGTTTCCAGTGAGTTGCTTCTAATATGTTTGTCTGCCAGCCTATCAAGAACCCCCCGACAGGGAAGAAGTATGTGAGGTGCCCTTGTAATTGCCTGCTCATCTGTAAAGACACGTCCAGGAGGATAGGATGCCCCCGACCAAACTGGTAGGTAACAGGCTGACAAGTTCAGCCTGTTTTACCCATTTACTTATCCAAAGCCAAATTTGAGGCTCTAACAAAATGTTTCCAGAGTCATATGTTTTGAGGCCCCAAGCTTTCTGTACTTCAAAGTCATCAAACACTTTTATGATCGTGTCCTGACTGTGTCATAAGATCATTTTTCTCCCCGTTTGTCCGGCAGCAGACGCATAATCAACCTGAGCCCGGTGATGGTGATCCCAGAGGAGCAACCTGCCCAGCCGGCACTGCCTATCCAGCCCGAGGGGATGAGGGTGGTCTGTGGTCACTGTGGCAACACCTTCCTAGTATGTAAAACTACAAAGACAACCAGACTAACTAGTCACACATTTGTTCAGACATAATGTTACTGCTGTGCTGTTGTTGGTGCATGCCTATTCATAATTGTGAGAGCAAATATTCTCAGTGCATTTAGTGATGGAAAGTCACTGGAGTAAAGGAGGGTTTGCTGAAGTATTATAGCCTAGTTGTACAGTCTTTTAGGTGTTTAAGCGTGTTTTTTTTTTTTTTTTACATACCTATGCACAAAGCTGGTGTCAGAAAAAGTCTTATTCAAGTCAGTCCCAAGCACAAACAAAGCTGGTGCAGTGTTTCTGTCCTGTTTAACAGTTTATCTGTTGAAATCAAGTCCTCCGTCACGTTAGAGGTGCAGACAGAAAACAATGTCTGCAGGTGGCTGGCATGCATTTGCTGCATGTTTCCTGTCCTTGCTAACTATCAGTTAATTTCAGTGTGGCCACACTGTGTCACAAGACGTTAAGTTTGTCCCTCTAACCTGCAGCTGCACCAGCCTTTGGAAGATGACTCCCTTGTTCTTCACATAAAGAAGTCTATTAAAAAAAAGACTTCGATCTAGATTTGGCCTGAATTTGCTGTTTCTGAACATGCTCCAGCTTCCCTTGAATTTTTCCTTCATTCTTTAAAGCCAGATGTCAAAAGTCACATATTAAACTCGTGGCAGTAGGACCTCTTAATTATGCTGATCTGTGATGGAATAAACATTTCCATAACACTGCTTCTTTAACACCAGAACCCCTGAATTAAATGATGTTTACCCATTATTTGGCCCCAAAGAGGGGGGTGTCAGGCCATGCTGTCATGAATCTTCAGAGCCCCACGATAAGCAACATCATTTTCCAGACCTAACCTGAAGGTTAACAATTGAAACTAACATTCTAGAGTAATCTTCATTTAGCCATATAACTTCCAAAGATTCTTTCTAATACAGGACTAATAGAAATAAAAATAGCAAACCATCATAATTTATCATGTAGAATCTTCCCCTGTGGGTTTACTGCTGATTGTCCCTGGAGTACAGTAGGACTGTAGTGTGTTGTTACATTTCTGTGTCGGTGTGTACATGCACATGTTCCTTAATACTACAACTTAACAATGCTGGGATTTTTTTCTGTTTTGTCACAGTGGATGGAGCTTCGGTTTAACACGCTAGCCAAATGTCCCCACTGCAAAAAAATGTGAGTCCATCAAACTTTTATTTACCACACAACTCATTCAGATCTGCAACCTGATCTTCATCTTGTGCAGACGTTAATGAAAGACAGTGGCAGCAGTAGGAAAATCAAACCCAATATAAAACACTGTGAGCACAGTTTATAAAAGGGTTAGTTGAACCCCCAACACACCTGGATTTAAAGGTAGTATGTTAAAATTGGAACAGTGTCAACCCTCAGCCAGTAGTTTGCTATGCTTGTTATAGCTGTAAACACTTTAGCTTCCAGCTCTCTTGCTGTCGTCGCTGGAAACATTTTAAAGTGCTTATTACTTTGTGGATAAATTCATTCTACTCAGATGCTGAACTTTAGAGCTCTGGACTTTGTCAGTCCTAGAAGGGTAGAGGAGGGGAGGTAGTGGAGGCTAATCGAGACGTGTGACATGAATTGAAGCTTGGCTCCCACACATGGAATGCTAATGATGTCTGGAGATCACAAGGTTGGAGAGTGGTGGGAGGGCATTGTAAATTGTATGTTTGAAAGTGATGATATGAAAAGTATCTGTCCAGGGAAGCAGCAATGTTAAAACACTACACAACCTGCGGCAGAATAACATGGAGTCATATTTTGACAGCACCTTTACCCTCATCTCTACCCATGTATCTTTCTCTATATGTCTTTTATATCTATCTCTCTTTATCTCCAGACACATGCACTTATAAGACACCAAGTGTACTCTCATGTTGAAAAAAGGTCAGAGGATATGGAGATCATGTTTGATTAATCCTAGTTTGCCTGAGTAATTCCTGTTTTTGCCAGTGATGTTTATTTGTTTTAAGTGCCCGGGGAAATCCAGTGCAGCAGCTCAGAATATCCCATTGTTGTCATCAAATGTAAAGAGCGTGTACAGCAATGATGAAATATACTGTAGAAAGCAGGAGGAGCATATTTAAAGCACAAGAAAAAAAAATTTCTGGTGATCATGCTCCCGTAAGCCATCTGAATATCGGCAATTCCCGAAGAATGCCTGAGTCCCATCACATGAGAGGCATGTGAGAGCAGAGAGTGGGGAAAAAAAGTGAAGTAATAGTGAAGCAAAAAACAAAAAACAGAAAAGAAAAGCTAATGCCAGTCTGGTTGCTTAGGGGGAGTTAACTTATACATGTGCTTGAATGGAAACTGGATGGTGCTTAAGTTGTTGCTGGGAGCTGCACATGTGACTCGCCTTGGGTGCTTTCATGTGTAACTTAAGAAAGGGAAGTGGGAGATTTGTTGCTCATATGATTGTCGGGATGCTGTGGAGTGTGATCACCAGGAAAACGGGTGAGACAAAGACGGTGTCAGGTTCTTTATAATAAAAACCATTACGAAGTGTTTCAAACCTTAGTGCACCTCTACTTCAAAAATTTAAAGGCAATATTTGTTCAAGACTGTTGTATTGATTCCTGTAACTAAAGTTGGAGTTTCTGATGTTTAATTTTATCTCATTATTACCATGTCCACATAAAAATACACAGAATGAGATAGTATTTCTCTCAGGCTCAGGGCACATGACAAACATCATCTAAATATGTGTGTTTCACTTCTGAAAACCTCCAGCAATCTCTCTCTTTGCACACTGACCTTTTTCCATCTTTCTTCTCTTCCTGGTCTCCATATACAGATCCTCTGTTGGTAGTGCGCTCCCTAGGAGACGTTGTTGTGCGTATATAACTATAGGAATGATCTGCATTTTCATTGGAGTGGGTTTAACAGTAAGTACAGTCTTATGTTCATTTTTGCACCAAGTAAGTAGAACTACCGAGTTCTTCACAAGTTCAAGTTCTTTAGCATGAGATACCAAACATCCAGTGCCACTCCCTGACCACAGCCTCGTTTCCGCCCGTGACCTCATTGGGTTATACCTATGTTTTAGCTCGAGGCTGAGCTTGTTTCAGTGTGTGTTCATTTTTTCTACAACTGAGTGATATTATGAATTGTTATGGATTTGTCATCAACCACAGCACATCCCACAGAACACGTGTTTTTGTTTTCTGCTTTTTAAGAAGAAACACATTAATTAAATACAATAAACTAATGTTTCTCTGCCAGATAAATATGTATGACTGTCTAATGAAAATAAATATTCTTCATAACATTTCACCCACACTCTCTTTCTCTCTTCTGTGTTAATAGGTTGGAACTCGGGACTTTGCCAGTCGTTATAACGCCACCTACGTGTCCTGGGCGTTCGCCTACTTGCTGGGCCTCATCTGCCTGATACGAGCCTGCTACTGGGGTGCTATCAAAGTCAGCTACCCGGAGAACAGCTTTGCCTAGCATGGGCACATTATGGCACAGCCCTGTACGGCTGGAAGAGCAAACACCACTTTTAGTTCTGTCATCTCGTTCAGATCTCAAACCAGTCATGTTCAATAGAGTGGAACACCCACAAAGTGTTGGAGTATGAGTGTGTTGAAGAGGTATTGTGTATGTTTAAGAGGTGTATATTGAGGATGTATCTTGCTCTGTTTGCATCTGGAATGTTTTTGACATGCTGAACAAACCACAGAGACTCAAATTCTATCCAGGTTTTGCAGAAATGCTCCAAAACACAGAATCAGGAACTCAAAAACTGTGATTTTTCTTGATGGATGCCAAAATTAGTTGGCTCCCAGGCTGATTAAAAATGATAGTTTAGCAAACTGGTTGGATTTGGGCTTTCTGAACAGTTTGTTTATTTTTAGCAGTCTCACAGACGTGATGGTACCCACTTGATTTCTTTTGTTACTGACCAGACCAAAATGAGACAGCTTCCTGAGAACAGTTTGCCCATTGCACAATGGTTATATGCAATTGTATGTGTTGATTTTGCTGCTAGTTTAACTCCAGCTACAGAAAGCTGCATATCCACACTGTATTGTATTATTTATCTTGCCTGTATACACTGACATAGTATTGCTATATGATTTTAACTCTCAAAATGACTGTTTAAAAGAAATGGTCCTTAAATACCCATGCGTGCCAATGTTGCTGCCCATTTTGAGTCAAGAAAAACATCAGACCAACAGGAGCTTGTTTTTATGCCATGCGGCTTTTAACTCACTACAGCAATAACCCTTTTATTTTGTTTTTGTTTTTGTTTTTTTTTACCTTCCGTACCTTCCTGCATTTTTACTGCCTTCTCACTGGTGGAAAATGATCCCAGAACATGATAACTCACATCCGCATGGTGACTTGTTTATGTTGCATCACTGAGGTGGTGGCTTTTCATTTTCAGAGAGGTATATGCAGTGTATGATGTTCCTATCTTTGCTCCTTCTGCCTGTGAGTTAGAATGTAAACCCTCCGAATTCCCTTGCTTATATCGCCGCTCTCTGACCTCCAGTGAACTCTGTGCTAGCTAGCATCGCTAACGCAGCATCCTGTCTCTTGACGTCAACCAGTGGACACAGTTCAAACTTCTAGCCTTGTTTTAAATGCAAGGATGATGATGATGATAATGAAGCAGAAAACAATAATATAAAAAATACTGTTTGTACATAGTTCAAATTCAGTACTTGGAAAGCTGTAGTGTGAGGTGGAAGGAAACGATGGCTCGAGGGTCTTTTTAAAAGTGATAATTTATCAATAAAATGCAAAAACTGCCTGAATTGGTCTGCTGATTTGTTGGCTGTGATGACTTTGGACTTAGTGCATTTAAAGGTACTTTCAGGAACTCAAACATGAGAAGATCACTGCATTCAGGACACAAGGGTAAGGTGCCAGAAGGCCAAAGCATCAAATATGGAACAATATGGTTGTGCACAATTCAAGTATCTAATGATAAAACCAGGCTTATATGGACAGTATAGTAAATGTATTACTGTAAGGTTATATTCTACTCCACTATATTTTAGGGAGAAATACTGTATTTTTTATTCCTGTACATTTATTTTACAGTTGCTTTTCAAATGGCCATGAAAAACACGATGACCTTAAAAAGTTGATGCTATAAATTAAACTTCCACAGTACAGTCACAGTATACATTGTATTGTATTCCGACTGGACCAGCTAAAATGCTGCTTAGTGCTTACATAATAATCCAATAATGGAAAAAGTCTAATGCTTTGAAGGGAATTGTTTTGTTTTAATATGCATGTGTACTTTTTCAATTTTAGAACAATTCAAAAATTGAAATATGCAAGGAGTGTGTGATGATTACAACCCCCACCATACTGTCCTCATTTAAAAGGGTAGTTATTCCATGACTTATCCAGGAAAAGGACCATGATGAAGTTAAAACTCTGGTGGTGGTGAACGTGTGTTCTAGCTGACCTCAAATATGAGCTTTGGAATTTTGTCAAACTTCTTTTGCCCTCAAGGTCTTGTGTCCTCAACTTGATTTATAAATAAATTATTTGATAAGGCTTTAATTGTTGGATTAACATGCTTATACTGAGGTATTTATTTGGTTCCTGTTGGTCCTTTATCTTAAATAATTGTTGGTGTCCAATGGGAAAACCAGAATAAATCTTAGCAGTCGCTGCAGTTTTGCTCTGTGTCCACTAGGTGGTGGCATATGCAAACATTTCAAAAATTTGTTTCTGGAAATCAGTGTCACAGTTTTACACCATCAGTAGATGAACACACACACAAAGCCAGGCCATCTAAAAATGGCCTGAACCCTTAGTACTGAAGGGACTCGTTGGGCTCAGATTGGGTAACCACACTCTACCTTCAATGTCAAGTGCACTGACAAGATTTTGGAATCAAGTCATTGTTTGACTTTGTGGGCCTCCTTGGAAAATTTCCTGTGTCTAACTAATCTGAGATATGTTATTTTTGAAATAACCTGTGACTTGTAACTTCCACTTGAGGAGTGACAAAGAGATCCATCCAGCATACACAACAATATATCACCTTTATTAGTGACCAACAAATTTTTATCTCAATTTGGCACATTAAATAGAGAAACAAGAGAATGGTGGTTTAATGAGCTCCCCAGAGCTGCTACAGTTGATACAGTTATATTCCCCCCGGCTATCTCTCTCTCTCACACACACACACACACACGCACACACACTTCAGTTCTTATAATCTACCCTCGGCTGCAGATGATGTCAAACACAGTGATGATGTCAGATCACCAGACTGGTCTCTGTCTCATGAGGTCATTGCTTTTAGGATGCCAGAGTGTTGTCTAGAAGAGTGAACAAATACACACGAGCTATTTCAGCTACCACCTACTGTAACTATGAAGAAACTAGAAAGTCAAAAAATCAATACTAATCACCGGCACTTCACGAGCTGTGTTGAGTTAGTGTGTGTGTGTGTGTGTGTGTGTGTGCGTGTGTGGATTTGCTGCTGTGGACTTCCAGATGTGTTGACAGTTGACTGTTTGGATTTTGCACCCTTCAGTGACCATCAACAAGGGTGCTCATACGCTTTCAGTTGTTGTTGAGGACCCACCACGAGGCTGTGGAAGAGACACAGAAGATAACAAAGATTCACTCACCCTCAAAAATGACCCCATTTAGTTCAACGTCGAGCATGCTCTCCTCTCTGTGCTCACCAGGGACCAGCATGGTTGTTATGGTCTCAGGAGTTTCCAGAAAGTCCACGTTACCCCTCTGGAAGGTTTTACTGTAGTTTGTCTGCAGATGACTGAGCAGAAGAAATTATTTACAGGTCATGGATGGGGTGCATACAGTTGGCCTTCATCACACATTTTCTATTTAGAGTCAACAAATTACAACCCCTGAATCAGTAAAAATGTCCCCAGTGGCTACCAGCCCTGTGATAGACTGGTGAACTGTCCAGGGTGCACCCCACTTCTCGCCCAGTGTCAGCTGATAGGCTCCAGCCCCCCCCATGACCCTATTTAGTTATAAGCGGTATAGATAATGGATAGATAAATGAACAGCTACTACAAGGTTTAAAAAAACCTAATATTATTGGGGCCGGTACTCCTGTAATTTAGGGACTGATAATGCTGTTTGGAGCTCTGTTATGTGTCTAATGTTGCTTTCAAATGATACTGAACCAATTTCTAGACTTGGTATATCGTTGGCAGATGCACCGGCAACTTGCATTGTAAACAATTCATTCATATAGAGTCATAGAGAAACTGTCACATTCACAGTTAAATCTAATATGACCTATCCGATCAACTATGTTGAATGTGTTTTAATCCCCTGGTGAAAGTAGTCCCCAACACGTGCAATATTTACTCTTGCTTGGGTAACTTTTGCTCAACAATGCTCAGGAGCTTTAGCTTTTTTAAATGTTATGTATGTGTTTCAAAATTTAGATTTGTATAAAAACAAATGGGCTTGGGGTTGAGAGTCTCTGACGTATGGAGAGACTGACTAACACATCATTGGGTTTTATAGTTTCAATAATAAAAAATATAATTTCGGTGTTTACATTATTTTGTCTTCCCCCTCTGAGCATAATAATTTGTCTGAGTGGCAGGCAGATTTATAATCATTTGTACTGAGGAAGCCCAATGAAATATTGATATTTTAGTCACATTACCAATAAATACCAGTAAATGTATATACCTGAATCACTGTAACATTTACCTTTGTTTTGAATGCCTACTATCATAAATAACAACCATGGATAAAGAACATAGTGTGTTGTTGTTCTCATTAGTTGCATTACAGCTTGTCACTAAACACGGTGTGACATAAATCTTCTCTCAGTGAGTTCAAGCCGAGCAAAGAAAATAATTTGAGATTTATTTGAACATGGTGCATTAGCCATGATTCATATGTTACAGCTGAAGACTTACTTCTTCCACACGCTGTTGTGCTCCCAGAATTCATAGAGAATGAAGCGTGATTCATTTGCCAGCCGCTGAACTGCGATGCTGCCGAGTGCAAAACAAGAGAGAGCACAAGTCACGCAATCACTAATTAGCATGCTACATCATGTCCCCCAACACAGCCTCTGTGTCTGAATTGTCTTCCACACTCTCACTGGATGCAGGCAACGTGGCTCTGTCATATGATCCTTTCTGTGCCTTCATCCTCAAGCGAGTTAACATGAGAAATGACAACGCATGTAAATGCAACACTTTCCTTTAGGCTGTTGGGCTTTGTCAGTGGGTGGTTTTTCAGTTTGTGATGCTAAAGCTGAAGTCTGCCTCAGACCAACACGGGAGACAAATCTAAGAAGAAATTTACAAAATGTTTGAAGAAAAAGAAAATGCAGATGTCCTTTGTGACCCAAAATCTCATGGTATAATGTAACACTAACACCAGGGCAAATTCTTTTAATCATTACGCTGCAGCCCAGTTCTTATTTTTGATGTTTCATAATTAATTCTGTTCTCATGAAGATTTCTAAATGAGACCATGATACTATATAAATGAGCCATTTAGGGACACTACACTCTAATGTAATTCACAAAACTGCTCTTCACAGAGGGTATGATTTAATTTGTCACAAATTGAAGTTATAGACAAAAATGTCTATGTCTCTAAAGTCAGTAATATCTATGATTCCTTAAAGGTTAAAGACATCTTTATGTTTGCAAAAATAAAATAAAATAATGCCATAGATTCCAAAATGATATGTACAATTGATCAATACCATTTGAATGTTAGTAAGTCCACTTAATTAGATCTTCAGTGTTTAGATTATGCTTGGATGCTGGGTACTCACAGATTAAAGAAAGCAGATGTACATTTCAGAGTCTTTAAACAAGGAACAAAATAGGAGAATCATCCCTTAAATCAAATCTTGTGTTTGTCAAATCAAGCCCATTTCTTGCATGTCTCACAATTCACAAGTTTGCCTCAGAGGGCACCACAATTTGTACATCATGTGACACCTTTTGATAAGAGTTTTAACAGGGAAAAGAATGAATAAAACTCAGAAAACACAACAGAGGAGAGACCCCTCTTCTAAGATTGACAGATGTGCAATGTATAGTGCAGTAATGTGAATTTTTGCTATTTGGGGGTTGCTAAATGAACCTTTTGTTCTGACACCCTTCTTTTAAAAAGCCATTTCTAGAGTGTAAAAAAATAGAAAGCATGTAAATATCAAACAGTAAATCCATAATACAATGTGAACAAAGAGAATATAGACTCACTGTAGACATCCAGTCTGGGCGCAAGCACACTCCATGTACTGTCTGAGAGCCAAACGAAACTCCTCCAGTTCTTCCTCCAGCACTGAGAGCTGCCGCTGCACTATCAGGATGTGCTGTGAACACACACAAACAAATACACATGCAATGTTAGAAGCTCAGAATTTGCTTCTGTTGTGTAGAGAGTGTGAAGGAGCTCAGGGGCATTTAGAAATCTTCTGGCAGGTTTTCACATTGGTTCAGGGGGTTAACAGAAAACTGGTGACTAATGTAGGACTGTCAGGTGAACACTGGGAGTGTTTATTAAATTTTGTATGCACCTTATAATTCAATGTCCTGGCAACAAATTCTTTACAACAAGCCAACCCCGCTGTATGTACTCCTGATACTTTGGTACCAGAAGGAGATAAAACATCTGTGTCTTGTTGTACAAAGGTGTAAACAGCAGGGAACAATAAGCAGGAAGACCTGACCTATGCATAACAACAGAACGCCTCCTAATCATTTCCTGAGGCTGATGAGGGATTGTTGATAGAGGCAGGGAGACTGATGGGAACAGGAAGTCAGATATCTGCCTATTGGCTAAGGTACACAGCGTGTGTTAATGATGTGTGAGTGTGTGTGTGGCTGATAAAACACCTCAGTACTCTTGCTCATTGGCTAATTTGGGAGAAACACACACACATACACACACTAGGGAATACCTGCACTCAGGTATGTTAACACAGTCACACTATCATACATCAGTCTCATGTTGTGGGTCTTATCTGGTTTTCCCCTGGCTGCACATTGATTTCCAGTGACGCACAGTGTTAAACCAATTAAATATGATTAATTCTGCATCAAGCTGGTGATGAGACATGACAATGAGATGTAATATTCATGCATGGATTCATGCATGGGCAGCACGGTGGTGTGGTGGTTACGCTGTTGCCTCACAGCGAGAAGGTTCCGGGTTTGCGACCTTTCTGTGCAGAGTTTGCATGTTCTCCCTGTGCTTGCATGGGTTCTCTCTGGGTGCTCTGGCTTCCTCCCACAGTCCAAAGACATGTGGCTTAGGTTGATTGGTGACTCTAAATTGCCCGTAGGAGTGAGTGTGGTTGTTTGTTTGCACATCAGCCTTGTGATAGACTCCTGTCCAGGGTGTACCCCGCCTCTCGCCGATGCTGGCTGGGATTGGCTCCAGCCCCTGTTCGGGACTAAGCGGTATAGATAATGCATTTATGCATATGAAATAATAAAACCACTAATCAATTGGTCAATTGACAAAAAATTACCAGCAACAATTCTGGTGATCAATTAATTGTATAATTCAATCACTTTCTGGTTCCAGTTTTTCCAGTGTGAGGATTTTCTGCTTTTCTTGGTTTTAAGTATTTCTGGTAACTGCACAAAATGACAACATTTGAAGTTGTTATCTTGAGCTCTGTGTGTTTGTGTTTGTGACACAAATATTTCTGATCAAATAGGATAAACCTGTAGAATTCAGACTGTGGGTGAACTATTAGATCTCATTTTAGAGCCATGCTCTGTTTACAGTCTTCTGCTGAGTGATGTATACTACTCAACTGGGGATAGCATTAGCTGTTACAGTCATATTTACTGTGATTTATGAGCCTTTGATTTACACTGAAGTCATCCACATCCATATGTGAAATTATCACATGAAATATCTCAAAACCACATGCCCATATGTGAAATTTTCAGGTGAGAAAGATACACACACAGTGCTAGAGCTGTGGAAAAATCTATTATAGAAAGAAAGTGTTAGGAAAATAATGATTATAGGCCAGTAGCTCTAACTTCCAGTGCAATAAAATCTTTGGAGAAGATAATGACAAAGGAAATATACAAGAGCCATCCTTTGATACCAATTTTCTTATTAAAAAAGTCACACTACAAATGATGCAATTTCCACAATACTGCATCTTGTTTAGAAGCACTTGTTTTTTATTGACTTTGGTTCTGGTTTTAACCCCATTCACCCACAAATTCTGCTTTAAAAACAGTTGAAGGTGGATTCATATATTAAGTGCTGCTGTTAGTTTTTATCAAAGAGGACACACCAAGTAAAATTTAATTCAGTGTTTTCTGACATAACTGTATAGGATGTACCAGTTCACCCTTTTTGTTCACTCTGTATACAAATGATTGTGTCAGTTCCCAACCTAACAATGTGCTGTGAAACTCTTCAATAATATTCTCTGTCTAATCACAAGTAGTTCCAGTATTAGCAGCTGCAAAGCTGAAGTGCACAGATTTGTGGAGCGGTGTAATGAGCAAGGAAGGAGAAATCCTCCAGTGGGTATTTGTCTGTGTAATAGTCAGTGAGTCAGAGACAGTTTCTCACCCATGAAGTGAGTGATGTGGTAGTAACAGTCTCCCTTTGCTTTGTGGACACTGAGGTTAAACAGGGAATGATGACACACATACACACACACACACACACACACACACACACACACTAGGGAACACATGCACCTACACACACAGATAAAACCACACTCACACTGTACTCATACTTAAGTATAGAGGATATTTCATTTATCAGTTGGTTGAAACGTAGGGAGAAAAAAAATCCTGTTAGTAACAACAAAGTAATTGATTTTTCAAGCTGTTTCATAAAGACTTTCTTAAGGGGGATGTAAGAATATATCAAACCATTCAGACTATGTACAACATTGAATCTCTCCCCTCCTCTTTCTCTCTGTCCCTCTCCTTCACATACCCCCATACTTGCGTCTGCTCTCTTATTGACTTTGAGCTTCATCTTAAATGCAGAATATTGAACCTTAAACAGAACAATTAAAGCTAAAGACAGAGCTGAAGAGGAGAAGAGAAAATGCTTTGGACAAGTTTCAGCCCCGCTGCTGCTATGGCAACCTCTGACTGCTTATTATCAGTGTGGCCTTCCTTTCAGTAACGCTTCACCATGCACGCATCGCATAATGCAAAGTGGTCACCACAGCAAAACAGTAGAAAAGTAGAGGAAAGTCAGGAAACAAACCGATTTGCTCTCCAGGACCTCCTCTTCAACAGGCTCCAGACGAATCTCCTAGAGAACAAGGGGAAATACAGTGATAGGATGCACTAGTAGAGTTTGCTAATTCAATAGTACATACATCTGCACAATCTCTGTAACCCTGCTGTAAGAACACATATTATAACTTTATAAAGTTGATTTGGAGAAAGTGTTAGCATGTGCTGCCTATTTATACATCCGACAGCTACAGAGTGACATTATCCTTCATTCGGGGACATGTTTCTGTTCACCCAGTGACTGTCAGTCCAGTAATTATTCTACTTTGGTTCTCACCAACTCTTGCAATGACCAGATGGCTGGGATTGTGAAAGGAAACTGAAATAAGCTGGAGAGAAAAGAGGAAGAAGGTAGAAGAAGAGCAGAGCATGGAAAGGGTGAAATGAAGGAAGTTACTTTTTGTTCTAGGCGGTCAATAAGCTTCTGTAATCTGTTGACCTGGATCATCCACTGGTTGTCTTCATCATAAACACCTAGAAGAAAGAGACACACACAAAGAGGTGGACAGATCTCAGATGGAAAGATTAAACAGGTGAAGGAATGAATGGCGCTACCTACATCAACTGTAATTTAAACACATTTCTCTCCATTGATTAAACTGACTACTCTAAAACTGTGCTGTTGTCAACAGAGCTATTTCAAGGTTTCCTTTCATCTTGTGCAACATGCAGCCACACCAATCAATAGAAAGGCTTTAAGGCTGCAATTGTAGTTTATAAAGGCTCTGCAGTTATTTCAAGGAGCTGCTAGCAGCCATAATGGACGTCCAATGGAGAAATGTCTGTGTGCAAACAATAGTACAATCATACAACAACCAGGCTGGGCTGGGAAAATAGAAAAAAACTGGTGTAATGTGGATAAAAGATTTGTCTCTCTCACACTTACACAACCTGCCCTCCCCTCCTGCGCTCTGCTCTGACACCCTGATTCTGGTCGAGCATGTTCCTTGCTTTTGGTAGCAGCTAGGCAACAAAATTCAAGACTGACGTGCTGTCAAACACAACAGGATGCACAAAACAAAATAACTGAGCTGCTCAGTGATGTTAAGTTATTCAAGCCCAACATATAACCACACCTGAATTGACGAGACTGAGGAGGGTGTTGTTGGGAGAGAGGCTGCTGTTCCTCTGAAGCCTCCGATTGGAGCGACGGCCCGACCACTGGATGGGCAAAACCTCTGGTTTCAAGGGACCTTGTCTGGAGTCAAAGCAGCACAATAGCTTTCAGCATTTTAATGTACTTCCTTTAAACATTGTGAGTATTAACACCCTCTAACTCACATTAAATGACTTTTTGTTTTGTATTTTATGTGGTCTGCTGCACACACTAAAATAACATATACTTAGGTCCAACAATAAAAAAAAAGCTTGGATTAGGTCTCAACAATCCAGCAACTCTTAACAATAAATAAAAGGAGAACCTGAGTAGGAAGTGCCATTTGTGTGTTCTCATTTGCACTAAAAAGTGATAAAGAAGAGGGACCACTTGGCAGTGTTTCCTGGTTCCCAATCACATTTCTACTTTTCACAATTTAAGATGGTGCCCAAGTGCCTGAAGCACACAGTCTCACAAAGATGTCTCAGCTACAGGAAGAACACATTTTGCATGCCTAAATTTGTTCCAGCTTTTCATATATTGGTTTGTTGTGCTGTTCTGAGAGTGATGCTAATGCCAGTGACAAGGAGCAGGCAGCCGCTGGGTGATATCACCTAAGATTGATCTTACAGCTGTCAAGTTGTGACATTTCGTATTCTTAGAGAGCTTGTGGTGTCTGTAGGGAAGCGTGGGTCCATGTAGGTGAATGAACAGGCACATATTTACTTGTGTTCTTGCTGACAGTTAAATGTCATGTTTTTATGACATATATGAAGATACAGTGGAAAGGAGGTTAACTTAACTTAGCCTATAAATTAGAAACAGGGCATAATAGTGAGCCTACCACCTTCCAAAGGTAGCAAAATCTGCCTAACAGCACCTCAGAGTCTTATTAACTAATAGCTTGTTTGTTTATCCCATATAAGAACCAGACTATTTCATGACAGAGCCGGGCTTCCAGGCACTAAGTGCTAGTGCACAGACAGGAGAATCTTACTGATCTCCTCATTTAACTCTCAGAAAGAAAGCTAACAAGTGTTTTGTTTGCCAATCTCTTTGAGTTGTTAGCTCTAACTACAGAGTACAGCTCTTGCAAAGTGAGGAAACTACAAACTAAATGTAAAGATCTGTGACTGTATTTTTTTTTAAATATTGAAACCCCAATAAATGATCTTCTTTTGGTATGAGGACTGTGGCTGCCACATACAGTATGACACCATTTATAAGAGATTAAATGCTCCTTTCTTCAAGTTAAGAGAAATGCAGTAGGCCTATAATTAATCCACTAGCTGCATATATCCTTGATGTATGGAGAAGGAGGAAGCAATGGTGGGTCCTGCGAGTCTGCCAGTGAGTCATAGTTTCAGATATAGCAGCTTTATTGACTAAAACCAACTGAGATCAGTAACAGAACAAAGATCAGCATCCTTCCCACGTTCACCCGCAGCCCTTATGTCAACTGAGAGGGAAGAAGAAGAGGTTAAGAGCTAAGGAGCAAACTGTTTTGCCAGAATTAGCTCATGATGCACATTCTTTTTGTCCACCCATTCTGTTTCTAACAGTTTTAAAGCCATCCCAGTATCTGAAGAAGTCTGAGCCATTATCATTGAGCAACAACCCAAAAATCCTTACAGAACTGATAAATAGTTAAAGAAGATGATGATGTTTATGATGCATCAAAAAGCTTTTATTGGTTGAGGGTATTTACTGGGTAAATTACAGCAAATTAAAGAAAAGAAAGCAATGCTACTTTTGAGATGACCTACACACTTAATAAATACATAAACCAAGCTCAGCTCTGAGTCATATCAAGCATCCAGGAGTATAGGGTCCTGTTTGTCCACAGCATCGCCACACGTAGAGCATATACCTGACCACAGACTATTTAAAGCCACCAGGAAAACAACATTCTTCTGAGTGATTGCACTCAGGAGCACAGGGGACTTGCGTGACAAGTCAGAGAGGGGTGTCAGAGGAGAAGAAGCTGCTCTGGGAGCGAGGCACAGTCATACTTTGAAATAATATGTCAGGGAAATACAGAAAAAGAGACATTTAGATGAGGTGAGGAGAAGATAGAAAAAACAAAAAGAAATCCAAACCCATCATTTTCTGCTTCTGAGAGTAAATTGCAAACACTGTCAGCGTGAGACAAGGGAGTACAAAAACCCAACAGGGGTCCTTTCAAACTGAACTCATGTAAAAAATGTCAGCTCAAAACAACTGTTGTGAAATGCTGTAGCAGAATAATATTTGAAAAATAATGAAATACTTAGCGATTTTGCATTTCAAGCACCGTTCCACTACTGGACAAGAGCTTTGTTTTAATATGTACAAAATTTTAACAAATCAAGATAATAAAGGCTCAAATTTTGTTTCAGTTAAATGTAGAGTTGCCAGATGTTCACAGCAAAATCCCTGCTTAGCTGTCACAGCTGCAGCTCAAGGTTGAACTCGGGTGATGTGGTGCAAAGACTGTGTGTCATCATTTGTGCTTTAAATATACGGTGAACACAGCCATACAGAAGACATACCCACACACAGAGCTGCCTCAGGTGTAATCATCAGTCATCCACCCTTCTCACACTCACAGAGCCACTGAATGAGTGTTCATTACCACCCAGTTCATTTATGAACATGCTAATAATTTCATTACAACTCTATTAATATCAGACTATATTAACCTATTATACAAAAAATTACCATATATATAAATGTTAATTAAACTGAAGACAGAGCAAAATCTAATTAACAGACCAACATAACTCAGTGAAATAGATTTGCCTCCATGTAGTTAATTTTTTTTCAGTGTGTTAATTCTGTTTTAACAAACAACCAGGAGCACAAACACTTTGGGGTTGACAGTAAACAGTTTTCAACTGACAATACAACAGCTTCCAGAGCTTGTGTTAAACCTACATCAACTGAGTTGGAGTGGAAACAAGATACAAACACACCATGTAACATGTTTTGACCTTACAGATGATATACTGCAGACAGTTGTTCAGGCAAAACTACCTGCCTTGATAATGGTGACATATATTATACATATTTAATTTTTCTGCACAGAAAATATTAAAATCATCTAGATGTGTTCTGCTTCCACCCATGCTTCATTTCTGTCAAGTCTTAACAACCCCTTTTTAATTTGCTTCCCTACTTTGGTCTTAACAAATACACAGTAGGAACCTGTGTTGTTGCAAGGCAGTTTGGATAAAGGCATCTTTTAAGTGTAAAATGTGCAACATAAATTAGTGTGTCAGGTTTGAACTATATGTGAGAACTCTAATTATGTGTGCCACCGAACAACACACTGCCTATTTTTTGAAGATGATGTGTGATTGTATGTATGTGCAAGAAGGACCATGGAGATTTGCTCTTACTTTTCCTGGCGAGTCTGCTCCGCTGTGGTTTCCATGGCACACTCAAGTGAGCTTTGTAGTGAATGCAGCTGATTTCACAAACTGCTCCAAGTGGGTGGACTCCTGATAATCCTGTCAGTCAAGGGGAGGAGGAATTAGAGTAGGAAGAACTTTATATGGACATGGACATAGACAGATGTGACAACCAACAGTCACTCAATGTCCAGACCTCCCCCGATAATTAAAAGATGTCTCTGAGTGCATACAGTTATAAAGGATTACATAAGATGGCTGCAAGAGAGCAGAGGAAGAGGAGGAAGAACAAGATGTCAAATCTTTGGTCTTCACAGTCTAAGTCGCATAACTTCTAAAATCCACCCTCTAAAATGTATTTCATCTTTCACGCTGATCTGATGTCTGACAACTGACTTTAAGACACTACAAGTTCAATACATAGATGGTACATTTTGTGCATGCACTTTAAATGACTGCAAGAAAAACTGGGAGTGAGTGTGAGTTTCTGGGCAATTCATCTACTTTACTCTGGCCAACCTTACAACTTATTGATTCTTACAAGTTATTAGTACATTGGAGATCTTTGCATCAAATTTTCCATTACTGACATACTTTCAAACAAAAACTGTGATTTGAAACTTGCTGACAATGAAGTGTGACAGTATTCAAATTGAAAGGAATCTGAGCACTGTTATTTAAGGACAAACATAATATCAGAATATGAAACTGCAATTAAATCAGTTTCAAGGGAACTAGTTGTTTTAGAGCAAATTGTAAACACACCACCCATTATCACCTTATGCAAAGTATTGTATTTTGCAAGTCAAGGGTGCATTTATTTTTTTCTGGGATGGAGAAAAAAATTTAACTAAATAACATTTTCAAGAGATGTCATTTACTATGCTCAGACCAGAGCAGAGCAGGGTGGCTGAGTGTTGTTCTGGACCTAATCAAAGGGAACTGAGAGTTTGTACACTGCACCTGTTCCCACAGTTTTAGCATTGTGACTGTTTGTACATTCGACTCATAATAAGAGGTTTAAAGAGAAACACTAATGCGAGTTAGATTAGAGCAGAGCTAATGCATGAATACGAATGTGTTTGTGTGATTTAAAGCAAAGAGGGGGAGATAAAAGGAAGACATTTCAATTTTAGCTTATATTTTAGACGTACAGTGATTTTAAAAGCTGCACATGTTTATTGGACTGTGGAGGCACATACACATCCTAATTACAGTATGTTGCCACAAGAACACAACAGTCCAGATCTCCCTTCTTACAAGTTATATTTTAAAAACCCAGAGTCGTTATCGGTCATAGACCAGTTGGACATCAGTCCCCTGACATTCTGATTGTCAGCAAACACACACGCCTGCACATAGATGCACAGTGAGAGTGAGTCATGACAAAACCGGTAAAGGTCAGTCTCCTGTCTACCTCCTATGATCTGTACCTGTGTGTGTATATGTGTGTGTGTGTCCACCTCACCATCTACAGCCATTTTAAATAGCTTAAGGTCTGTCTGATTCTTTCATTTTTGATTTCCCTTGATCTTTTGTTTTTGCTCATACAAAAGGTCAAATGAGTGCTTTGTTAGAGGAGGTGCTTTGTAGTTTTCTACAATTTTCTAGTTCAGCTTCTGACCCACACTTTGCTGCCAAACTCATGCTATTTAAACCTTTTAGTCAGGACTATGTAAACTACTTCCCTCTGCTTCCACTCAATCATGCCTCACCCTACCTTTGCCAAATGGTTTTACCTCATAAAAGCAAAGATCAACAAATTAAACATCAACAGTGAACTTACTTTTGCCAAGTCAGTTTAAGCACAATGCTACTGTCTGCTAACAAGCTCGCCCTATAAGGTCATAGAGGTGTTATGCTGACGTTGCTCACAACTTAATTCTGAGTAGCCAAGAAAATCAGACATTGTAGGTGTAAGGCATGTTCAGTAATGTGCAATGTTAAATCAACTATATAACCAGGAGGTCACATGTAATTCACATATAGCATAAGTTGCACATATAAATGTAGGAATGACTTTAATGTATTAATGCAAACACGGATTAATATGTGTATTTCAGAATAACTGGTATTCAAACACTTTAGAGTGAGTGATCATGTTAGCCTAACTAATTGTATTCGTTCACTGTAATATTTAGCAGAGGTACAAGGATTTATAATGAGCTATACTGAATATTTTTATGAAACATAATTTCAAAAGGTCCTGTTTATATCATTATTAAACAGCATTTTGTTTAGATCACTGTCAACTGTATGTTAACGTTTTAACGTTAACTAGGTCAAATGTGGTCAAATGCAAGCTACCATTATATTTGTCTGTTACTTCAGTGAGCTACACCTGACAGTTACTGGGTGCAAATATTTTGTCACAGCTAAACTGCATGTAAGAACTAGTTTGAATTTTGCGACTTGTTTAAAATAATGATGTGTAAATCTCCACTTGATAAATGCATTAGAATGTCTTACCAACTTACCAACAGCTGGTGCAGATTGCATCTATATGCTATATTTTACCAGTCAACCACTGTGCCTGTTGTTGTCCATTTATTTATTTACTTATTTAATGAATTAAAACCTTGGGTATTTTCAAAAATACTACAGCAGCTGTGAAATGTGACGACACAACAGTTTCCTCTTGCTGCATGTGAAAAACACCTGAGATTTGCTAAGAAAGCTGAAGGTAGTTGTATACATGAAATCCGTTAATAATTTTTGCATGAATAGCTGCACAACATGAAACCCAGAGTGTCTGGACACGGAGATGTGCTGGGCTCTGATTCTGATGTACAATCTTGTTCCAGCACCCACGCACCTGTGCATGGATGTTTGATTTGTGTGCACGCATCCAAATAATCTTCAAATGCAAAAAAATAGAAGCACCTCACACACACACATACATACAACCCCCCTCCAACACTGCCACAGCTGGAGACCACCCACTCATATTCAGATACTGTTCAAGAGAGTCAACTGAGCTTTAGTCTGTGACTAATGCAGCATCTGTTCTCCTCCTCTTTACTTTGATTTCAAATGGAGAAGTACAGCATGTTGTACCTTTATTCTCTCTGTTATTTCTGCTATGAGTCATTTTAGCATCACAGATATCATTTATGGCAGCATACACCATGGAGGAGAAAAATATCAATTAGGCTTCAATGAGTAAACAGTTGCCTATTAAAAGAGACAGCGGGTGAAACCCTGTCTTGCTTTCACAGTTACAGTTTAGTCATTTGATTTGAAGGTTATTACCTTGGTTAGTAATTCTCCTGTTCCATTCTGTTTGTGCAGATTAATTTGTTTTAATTTGAGCTTAAATATCCATTTTGTTCTGTATGTCTGTGAGGGAACAGTGAAGAGTGGGTTTGCCAGATTGAATGGGGTGTCATTTGGAGTCTTGTTTCTCACAAGTGCTCCATGAGAGCTGCCTTGAGGCTTTTAAAAGTGAACATTAAGGTGAATAATATTTTCTCAAATGACAAAGCCTTAAAATACATGACCATACTCTCTTCTTTCTCTCCTGCATGCTATCTCACTTCCTGCTCACAACTATTCTCTTGGAGAACAGAAAATGATTTGAGGTGCAATTTGATTTTTTCACTTCATAATGGCGCGGCACATGTTGAGATTTATGAAAGACTGCTACAGGATTTTAAAAGTATGGTTCTCCTTTGCTGAAATGAAGGCTGAATTTCAGGCACAAGTAATTTACTGCTGTGCTCCTGCAGGTCCATTCTTTTTGAAATCTCTTTCAAGACAAATACCTTTTGCTTGGAGTGAAAAAGATATGTAAAAGAAGGTTACCTCTGCTATCTCATTGATTTATATTGTTTCATGTCTTATAAAATTAAACTTAGTGAAACTATTATTTGACACCATTTTTTAAAAATCTTCCCTCACTGCTGTTTTTTTTCTGTTCATTAACAGTCCAATCATTTACTAAACTGAAACCTTTATCTGCCACACTTTGTAGGTGTGGCTATCGGATGTCATCATGCCTTACCGCTTTCTGTTCTTATTAAAACTATCACTTACAAATGAATGGTTTGACTCCCACTCTTTTTCTGAGGGAGTCGCGATAAGACATGTCTGCTTAGCTGCAGATTTGATGGGCAATTTGAGCTTCACAGTGTGTCATATGTGCCAGATGAGATACTACTGAGAGTGCAAAAGTGGTAGAAATCAAATAGAAGCCTCCCCTGCACATCTAATAAGCCATTTCTCATCCTCCCATCCTTTTCCTATTTTTCTTTAGCAGTTGTCTGTTCAGTCCTAATTTTTCCTTCTGTCATCTTTAATCAGTTACTTCATCTCTGTCTGTTTACCTTTCACTCCCTCATCACCCTCATCTTTCTTCTCTCTGCTAATGCAAAAATCCTAAAGTCAAGAGGATATAAAGTTTTTCCCAAAACCATGATCAAAAGCAGTGATTGTTTCCTAACAAAGCTACAACCCATTTCATTTCTCATCTATGTTGGCTACAAGTGCAAAAAGAATCATGACATGTTTTGTTCTGGAGGTTAATTAGCAGCATGAATGGACCCCGGCTTGTCCTGTTTGGCTCTGTAATGGAAATCCGACTAATGGGAGATCTGAGGAAGCCAGCTGGGCAACACAGGAGCATGCTGGGTGAGAGCAAGAAGCTCAGACCACACAGTGAGGAAATCAAACATCTCCTATTGTCATCATCATGTGCATGGCATGAGACGTCAGTGTGATGCATTCTGTACAGTGTGGAGGTGTGTGTGTATGGGGGATGTAAACAAACATACACTGTTTGAATATGAACAGATTGTGAGCTCTGAACAGCTACACAAGGCATCTTATTTAGCAGATTTTTTTAGCAACTGATTTCCTGCCACCCCTTTATATGATCACACCTCTTCTTCAGCATCATTACTCAGTCATGTTGAAACACACACAGCACACACACACCACTAACTCACTCTTCACAGCCGTCGCCACCATTCACACCATCACTGGACTAAAAAATCCAAAATGCTTTTCTCTTTTATATTTAAAAAAAAATCAAGTCAAATTTTTATTGCATAATACTTTGGTTCATTAGCAAATAGATAAAAAATTAGTATTCACACTGATCTCAACTGTAGTTTGTGTTTACAGATAATTAGCAAATGTTAGCAAGCTGACTTACCAAACTAAGATGTTTTAGCATTTACTTCAAAGCACCACTGTGGCAAATTATATCCTTGTAGAGCGGCTAGGTTGGCTGTAGGCTCTTGTTACCTCAAGAGTCAATATTGGAATCTGGTACCTTGTGTGACTTTATTGTAGAGGAAAACTGATTTGAAGTTAGGGGCTATCTCAAAAGTGCAGGCAAAGTGGCTAAGAGAACTTTTAGGCTGTTGCTTCAAACTTTATTTTCATCTTATCCCATTACAGACAAAACCTTCAGATTTAAAAGAAAAATCATACTGTCTGGCTACATTCAATTTTGACTTGGATTAATTTTTTATTTACTCAGTCTACACTTTTTTTGAAGGTTAGGCTCAATTACAAGTCATAATTAAATTCAACTACTATGTTACATTGTATGAGTAACTGGAGTAATGGGGCCCTTTTGATAACTCCCAGTGTATGACCAGATGGTATCCGAACACAGACATGAATTCATATTTTGGTACAAAAGTCCTATACAGATGTTAGCTCTGTGATGACATCTAGTGCATGTATCTTTCCAGTGGCACACATTTTTATCGGCTTACCTTCTTTGTTTTGTCCATCGCTTTCAGTATGGATATGTTCAGGTCTTCTAAGGCAGCAAGAACATTCTCATATTCTCCAAAGTGCTGGGAGAAATACTCTTCACAGCAGAAAGACAAAGAAAGAATTTGTGAGTTAAACAGCTAGGACAAAGCTGTTGGTGTTTGGTTGAAGCAGCACTGGTGTGACACTTGAGTCACACTGCCTGTAGGGGTTTGGTCATACAGCATGAGGCTATGCCTAACGTGGTTCTCTCCTTATGTGAAGGAAAATGTCAAATAGCATTTGAATCTACGGCACAGATCTAAAGCGAACTAAATCTGGTATAACATTACGGATTTGTAATAATAAAATTTCAAAGCTGCTTTTTTTAAATGAAGACAACTTACCACAGAGTTCATCAGTGTCCACGTTACTGAAAGACAAAAAAATGAGAAATACATTTAAATTAAAAAATACCTCAAAACCCCAGCCGACCAAGGTTGAAGGAAGTGACAGAATAAAATTTGATCTCTGCACAAATGTTTCCAAGAGATACTATGATTTGATGAAAGCATGTGTGATGACAAATGGGAATAAGGAAAATGTCATGAATAACTGAATAATTTAGTTGATTCTTCCCCCAGAGGTGTGTGCTAGAGAGAGTGCTGGCCAGATGGTGAACTCTTCCACAGAGAATCTTGTGATGAATGTCCATGTGTTTTAAGGCTGTCGGGGTGTGTATATGAGTGACTGAAAAGAGAGACTGACACAGAAAAAGAAACAAAAAAAAAGAGTGAAAGAAAAAGGTGAAGAAAAGTTCTAATTAGTTCTAGTCAACAACGCTGTAGCTGCTGTTCACAAGAGGTAAAGTGCTGTAGTTAAACAATTGGTCCAAACAGGAGAACACACTTAGAGCCACAGAGGACAGATAGGACCAAAAGAGGAACACAGAAGTTAGACACTAAACTAAGTAACAGATTAAAAAGCTTTTACTTGTGTTGCTTGAAAGTTGGCTGTTTTGACAGTTTAAGGCGTTAAGTGATTACTCACAAGTGAAGAATGGAATACAGCTAAATGTATTGTGTTTAACTGCAGCTCCAAATCCTTCAAACACAAATTAAGTTGTCTCCATTTTTAGATTACATGCCATATGTGTACATTTTTAAAATGTATGTATTGCGTAAACATTCAGTGCTCAACATGAAAATGACCTGGCTGATGCTGGGCAGACTCATTCTGGTGACTCATTCTTTAATCGATACTGGATTCAACTTGAGACTTCCAAATTACTTCCATACAACTTTGCCATTGGCCTCCTTCAGGGTTCATTTCACAGAAAGAGACACGTGGTCATTTTAATCTAACATGGAATCCGCTGAGGTGATTTAGCACAGTGACAGAGGCTGTGATGTTGATGATAATGCAGTATGTGTGTGTTTGTCTAAATAGGATCTGTGACCAGATTGCATTAATCATTAATGTCATGAGGATTTTTTTATTTGCTAATTTGTTGTTAAAACATTTTTGACCAACATATCTGCTTAGTGTTATGATGGCAAAATGTATTTATAAGGCCAAAGATATCTTTCTTTTTCAGTTTCTGGACTCACTACAAACACCTTATTGTACACCACATAAAAGCACATAAAGTAATAAACTAGACAAGCAGAAAAGGCAGACAATTAAAACATGATAATAGATTTGAAAACAAGTTAATTACTGTAGAAGAACTGACTTACTCTGTGTTATGAGTATCAATTGTGTGGAAGAGCTCCTTCAGTTCCTCAGCTGTCAGGACTCCATCAGAGAAGTAAGCTTTGAATTCATCAAAGGACAGCTTTCCATCATCTGGGCATGGAGCACAAATGGAGTATTTCAACATAGTGTTAGGACAGCTCGGTCAGGGCTGCAGCATCCTGTGAGGTGAAGTGACCAGCTCCTAACACATCTCTTACATACATCACAGACTTGTTATGGTTAAATGAAAAATTTGGTTTGTGCCTGCAGGTATGTTGGATATAAAAATGTCATGAAATGTATCATGAAAGTGAAAAGATTGGAAGCTGGTCAGCAGCATGAATTTTTTCCTTATATAATATCATATTATTCAGTAGTGAATTTCAGTCCACCTCTTAAGCAGATTAAATGAATGAATGTGACTTGAGAAGAGGTGACGCATGTTATAAACTGCAACAGTGAAATAAAACAAATAAAACTGAAATAACGACCACAGTGGAACATTTCCACCTAGTTTTTATTTTTACAGTAAACAACTCTGTGACTATTAAGGACATCACCATTTATTCCATAACACTAAGGCATGGCTGTCTCAAATTGTCATTTTTATTATTATGAATAGAAGAGAAGCAGAATGAAATATTCATGAGGTGAAAATAAACAACATTTCAAAATGAGAAACCTCAAAGTGGAAAAGCTTTAGCAAAATGAAGATATCCAACCACAGGTGACATGTTTTTCCTCACAACTCATGGCTTTCTCTCTGTGTGACATGAGGTGGCTGAGATGTTTTATAGCTCAACTGCTCTAAAGGTATTGCTCAGTACGACTGTCATGTTGTTATAGATTCTTGAATGATTTGCAAAAGCACACATGCTCATAAACTGAGCACACAATGACTCACTGTCACCGAGCTCAGACATAAACTTGCACCAGACTTGACATATACAGTAAGTGCTGCTGTTTCCACAGCACTAACAAACATGAGGGTTGGCTTCTTGACTTGCTGCATGACAAGATGTCAAATCATTAACAGAGTGGGATGGAAATGTCCTGCATAATGATGTGGTTCACACCATGTGAATAACAAAAATGTTAGAACAGAAACATGAGTGGTCTTTTTGATACGTTGCAAATATAGCATATTTTAAAATGCTATTGCTGCCATTCAATTTCACTTCAGTTTTTTGACTGGACACAAATGCTAGAAAAGCAGAACAGTCTGTCAGGCTGTGTTGACTGAATGGATCAGACTCAGTAGAATCAAATGCAAGGCCTGTGTGACATAAAAGCTAGAGATTCGCTTTGTTATTTCACATCTTGCTTTTGAATTCCCAGCTCTTGTACTTTCATAAGGATCGACAGAAAATTTGGATTCAGACTCCTGCTGTCTCTGTATCAACAAAATATTCCACCTATTTTTGTTATGTTTACATTGCACATACTGCACAAGATGGTGGAGGTGGAGTTGAAACAACAGTGAAAGTGTGCACTGTCATGATATAGGCGTCTAACTCATACAATGATTCAGATTGTATGAGTAGATAGATTGTTGACATTTTTCTTCATTAATGCTCTGAAGCTGCACCTCAGTGGGCATGGTCAGTTTCCTGTTTCTATGGAAACTAAAAGAGTATCAGCAGAAAGTCATGATCAGAATGTCACTGACAAAGTATGTCTGTTTTCACACATGAGAAAAGATGGGCTTAGGTGATGCCCAAGACATATGAGCATGTGTTCATGCGTGAGTCTGAAAAAAACTGAGTGATGTGATATTTACCATTTTTATCGGCTCGCCGTAAAATCTGTGATGAGGAAAGGAAAAAGAGGGATATTAAAAATGGTTTTCATGCCATCAAAGTTAAAATAAATGTGTGTGTATGTGTGTGTGTGTGTGTGTGTGGCAGGGGACATCGATCACTCTCTCAAAAGCAGTGTGTCATTAAATTATTGATAGTGCCTTCCCAGAGTCCACAGGAGATGAAAGGCAGAGCGGCAATAATCACATCAGCTTTAAAAGGCTTGAACCAGTAACCTCAAGATAGATGTGGCCAGTCTCTGTTCTTGTCATGTCTTTTTGTATGTTCAGTCTAAAGTGTAAATGGAAACCTAATCCTTCCATTTGTGGATTTTTGCCTCTAGTAGTAGGTCTGTGTTACATATGGGTAAAAACACAACTTAAAAATTGAAGCCACTGTCCTCTCCATGAACTAGAAGAAGGCTGTGTTCTGACTTAGATAATCAATCAATTAGGTTAAACTGAATTTAATAAAAAGTTCTTTATCTCTACATGGCCAGTGTTCACTGCAGCTACATACTGAATAAATAATCAACAAAAGGAAATCTTGCAAAGTTAAAACCATTTATTCTCACTTCTTCATGTCTTCATCACTTATCGAAGTGCAATAATGAATCCATTAGCTGCTAGGCAGAAAATTAGACCACAAATATTTTGATAATTAATCAGTTAACCATCTAGCCATTTTTTAAGAAAAAACACCAAATATCTGATGGTTCCAGCTTCTCAGTTTTGAGAATTTGTTGCATTTCCTTGCATATACTAACTGTAATATCTCTGGTTTTTGCATTGTTGGTTGGACATAAGACAACGTGTGACACTGTCTGAAGCTTGAGGATAATACAATAATATGTTAGGCATTTTTCATAGTATTCTGAATTTTATAGATTAAGTAATGAACTGCATAATCAAGAGAATAATCAGTAGATGAATCAATAGCCTAATGAAAATAATTGATAGTTGCAGCCATGCTTTTGCTCTTGAGCTCTCCCGGGCTGATTGCATTGGATCATTCAGATAACAGCTCAGTATGATAACGCCATCACTGAATTTCATCAAAATGAATATTTTACATGCAATGTGAGAAATGATTTAATTAAACCAAGAATATGAATGGAAGTTTTCCCTCTATGACATCTAGTAATAAGGTGAAAGCTCCAGCACCACAAAAATGATGGGGGAAAAAAAAAAACAGAGGTCAACACCTGTGCTTTTCTTTATCACACAGCACATCTAAACTGCTCCAAGATTTGTGTTTTAATGACACACAACAGACTGAGGCTGGAGCTCACATAGGAGATGCCAGCCTCAAAATAGCATTGCCCAATGTGTCTTCTTGTCAGAGGCAAGAGTCTGTCGACCAGCTCTAGAGAGTTTCATTCCCTGTCAGTTGGTGCCAAAAGGGAGACCTGTTCAACATCAATGAGACATTTGATGTGCTGGATATGGTTCCCATGTGTGCACCATCTCCTGTCTTTTTTAAATACTGAAGGCTGCTGACAGGTTTATGGTTAAGACATCACAAGTGAAACAAAAAGAGGAGGAATGAGGGTTACAAAATTAGGTGGATACCAAGGCAGAAAGCAACACACTGAGGGGAAGGACAGCTCCTCGGGGGAAAAAAAACTTGAGGAAGATGAGATATATGTGTTGATTTGTATATGTCATGTAAAATTAATCATCAGGTATCTGAAATTTAAAAGTTTTGGGAACCACTATGTGGTTGGTATTTCAGACACAGAGACCCTCTGATAAACTAGAGATACGAAAAGTTGCAAATACAACTTTTTTGTTTTTTACATACAATAATTGAGCTAAATTTGACTCATTACACACACAATTAATACCCTGATTTCTTATCAGTTCGTACAGACTTTTACCACTTCATTAACTTGATATGTGGCTTTGAACATTGACATATAAATGGATGGTGAGCCTTAAAGGCCAGCCTTGTCAAATTTTTAATTCCACATAACAAGGAACTCCGTGTCCTGCATTCATTATAGGGATTCAAACTATCTAAACCTTCAGCAAATAACTATTAAAATCACTGCAGTGTAATATTTTTTCAGGTAACGCATAACAGTGATACATTTTTTTTCTCTTTTTTGCTGTAATTTATCTTACCTATGTAATGAAATAAATATAGTCATACTACTCATACATGCTGCTTAGGTTTCTGCAATGAATCAAAAGTCAAAAGGCTAAGGCATTATTAGTGAAGAGAAAATGCACTTTGTAGGCTACTCAAAGTATGAATAAAAAAAATACTTACATCAATGAAGATTGACATGCCTTTTTTTAGCTCCATTTGTGGGCTGGGCTCCTCAGACCCAGAGTGAACCTCCTCTGAACAATCCATCATGCAAACTGGTCTTCAGTTGTGAACTGCAGAGGAATGTATCCGCTTCAGCCTAATCCGTTCACTGTCACTGGTCAGAAAGAGCGATTCAGCACCACTGTCAAGTCTGCCAGAATTAAACACAACATTTCCAAAGTAGACTTTCACAATTTAACCCATAACTTTGTCACTTTATTAGATAATAGAAATATTTATCCTGTCAACTCTTATAGGTGAATTAAAACTCATATATGATCTTCTTATTCTGTGGCTAATCTTAAGGCTATTCTTTGCATCAGCCCTAGACCCACCAACAGTTTTTAAGACAAGAAAATGTCATGTGTATGCCATTATTTTGAAAAAACAAAGTCACAACACTTCCTGTAATGTACTGGGTGAGTCTGATTTGACAATGCGGTACTTGCCTGAGCTAATGTGCATCTTTTTGTTGGATCAAAGTGTCATTCAAATAAATGCACTTCACTACCATAGTGCATAGGCCAATAAACTTACACCGACAGATCACTGAAAAACAGGTCTCGTGTAAACATCTCTCTAATCAACTGACTTATCTGTGGTATAATATAGCTAACAGTGGAATGTAAAGCACAAATATTCACAGATAGAAATTCTCAGATTTTTGTTAAAAGATACACAGTTAAGATAAAAGGTCATTTCAGCTTAAATAGAAAAAAATCCAATATGATCCCGATCATTGTGACATTCTTAAATGAAAGATAAAGACTAACTTTATCAGCCTTATAGCCTGACCAGTCATAAAGAATTCAAAATGTACATCTGTGCTGTCTTTATTTATTCTCTATTATAGTTAGTTTCCTTTAAGATCACTATAGTAATTAGTAGCAAAGACATTTTATTTTTTGTTAAAATATTTACTCCAATAGTAACATCTATCCCAGCATCATTTTAAACAGCACAATTTTATGTGGAGGAAAAATTGGGGAAATATACTCATAACACTTGTTAAACTTACATTTCAGGCTGTAAATTAGACAATAAAAAACCTCCTTAATCAGAAACAACTAATAAGCATTATAGTTGTTTGGCCCCAAATGTATAATAAGGAAACTTCCATCTGCACTCAGTTAAACAACGCACACAGTAACTTAAATTCTTTTGTGAAAAGCAAAAAGCTATTTGGAGTGGTTGTAAAATTGTGCAAGAGATCCATCTAGTGGATGGTTACAGCAACTTACAAACAATGCACTTCAACACACAGGAGATAGATGCATGAATGCACACATTGTGTGCTTCATTCCCCTCATTATGAGTTTATGGGAATGCTAAGCAGGGAAATTTCCTTCAGGCTATATGCTCAGAAACACTGGGGAATCAATGTAGAAGCATCTTCTTTTCTGCAGGCAGGTTCTCTTATATTGCATCCAAATCCTGTGTCTTTATATTTTTGTCCTCCCAGGTACATACATGAGAGGGTCAGAATATTAGGAACACCCCTAAATATGATGTAGATTTATGATAATTTCACCAAAAACTGAAATATTTTAAGGTTCACAAGCACAGATGTTAAGAAGAAGTGTTGCACTGGATTGCATAAAATTGTACAGGTGTACCTAATAAAGTGGCCTGTGAGATATATATTTCCATATCATGAATGTAACACGTAGATGTATGATGTGACAAGAGTTCCAACAGGAAAAAAAAAAGTCTAATTACATCACATCTGTGCCAGGCAACACCGTCCCTTCAGTGTCACTTCACTCGTCTGCTGCTCTGCTGTTAGACTCATTGCAAACAGTCACTGGAAAATCCTGTCTCTTGAGACATGCCATGCCCCAACCATAAATAAAGCATTTCACTTCCTCTTTCTTCAGAACATTATAGGTAGGCTATGCCTTCTGCCTTAAAATAGAGCAAATTGTCACAGTTTATTGTAGACAGCTAATATATACACTCAGTTTACTTTAGGTTTGAAAAATGTATTGTTAGGATTCACTGCTTTTGACAAGAATGCCTGTTATTAATTGTATTTAATTATTTTACTAAATTATTTTGTCAAAATGTTATAACCTACTCATAAATAAAAGTTTACAAAGAAAAGCCCATTCTTTTTGACTGAATGCCTATGCCACATTAAGTGTTAGGACTATATTATTTCTATAGCTGACAGTACCAATAAAACTACTAAAATATTTAATAAATGTAAGCAACAAAATGTTTTTTTATTATTATTTATTTTATTGTCTTCTTTTTTATTATGTTAATCCCTCTATTTGTATTTGCTTGCTTTCTATACAGCTTGTATACACAAGATTCTCCTGCTGCAGACTTTAGCTTTGAAATAATTATTTCAAATAAACATTTAAAGATTTATTTAAGAAAAAATAACAACACTGGGGAATCAATGTAGAAGCATCTTCTTCTCTGCAGGCAGGTTCTCTTATATTGCATCCAAATCCTGTGTCTTTATATTTTTGTCCTCCCAGGTACATACATGAGAGGGTCAGAATATTAGGAACACCCCTAAATATGATGTAGATTTATGATAATTTCACCAAAAACTGAAATATTTTAAGGTTCACAAGCACAGATGTTAAGAAGAAGTGTTGCACTGGATTGCATAAAATTGTACAGGTGTACCTAATAAAGTGGCCTGTGAGATATATATTTCCATATCATGAATGTAACACGTAGATGTATGATGTGACAAGAGTTCCAACAGGAAAAAAAAAAGTCTAATTACATCACATCTGTGCCAGGCAACACCGTCCCTTCAGTGTCACTTCACTCGTCTGCTGCTCTGCTGTTAGACTCATTGCAAACAGTCACTGGAAAATCCTGTCTCTTGAGACATGCCATGCCCCAACCATAAATAAAGCATTTCACTTCCTCTTTCTTCAGAACATTATAGGTAGGCTATGCCTTCTGCCTTAAAATAGAGCAAATTGTCACAGTTTATTGTAGACAGCTAATATATACACTCAGTTTACTTTAGGTTTGAAAAATGTATTGTTAGGATTCACTGCTTTTGACAAGAATGCCTGTTATTAATTGTATTTAATTATTTTACTAAATTATTTTGTCAAAATGTTATAACCTACTCATAAATAAAAGTTTACAAAGAAAAGCCCATTCTTTTTGACTGAATGCCTATGCCACATTAAGTGTTAGGACTATATTATTTCTATAGCTGACAGTACCAATAAAACTACTAAAATATTTAATAAATGTAAGCAACAAAATGTTTTTTTATTATTATTTATTTTATTGTCTTCTTTTTTATTATGTTAATCCCTCTATTTGTATTTGCTTGCTTTCTATACAGCTTGTATACACAAGATTCTCCTGCTGCAGACTTTAGCTTTGAAATAATTATTTCAAATAAACATTTAAAGATTTATTTAAGAAAAAATAACACTTTGGGAAACATAGCAACAGTCACTCTGGCCAAGTATACCTGCAATCCACTCTGAACTTCAGCAGTGTGTAATTTCAGTCTGTGAACTATTAACAGTGCAGCAATGACAGCAGGCCTCTGAATTATGAACAGTGTTTGGTCACTACAAGTAATAATATAACACTTCAGCTATTTAACAGGAGGAGGTTCTGCTTAGTGAGTACTTTAATTAATTCATAAAGTAAGTTTATATTGTTACTTATATTACTGATAATAGTAGGTTTTGTTTGAGTAAAACGTTAAATGCAGGACTACCTGTAATGAAGTATTTATACATAATTATGTATGTGACTACCTTTATACTAATACTAATTTCAGCATAGTTTGTCTCATTCTGGAGTTCTGGATATGATTCCATTGTTAAACTGGCATTTCTTATTAATGTAAGAAATCTGATCTAAATAATTTGGGTAAAATGGTAAACGCTGAAGGGTAACAATTAAGAATTGACTAAATACTTGTACTTCTTTCTGCTCATGTGGTAGACGGTAGAAAATACTTCATGCAAAATAAACAAATCTCGCGATAATCATTATGGGCCCTCTGATTGGATGAGAACGTCAAACCTTAGATCATGTGGGTTGGGGTTACTTGGCATTCTGGGACACAAACAGTGGTTGTATGAATAGGCTTAACGGCGACGAGATCAGCGGCATCCTCTGTGGACTGGAGACGAAGGAATAAATAACAACAACACCAACAACCAGACAGCAGAGAAAGAGTAGACTGTTTTTTAATACTTCCATGTTCCGTTTGTTGTTTTGTTGTCCGGCAGAAGAGGAGCTGAAAGCCAACTACGACGGATTAGTTTCCGAAATACAACGGTGGACTTTATCCATACAGCGAGCTGGTTAGCTAACGACGGGAATAAGTTACCTTTAGCTTTTCATCGGTTTATGCTAGTGTGTTAACATTAGCTTGATGGGACTGTTTGTGGACTCATAAAAGTTATTGTTTTTGCAACACTTTGATTCTACATTAGTCATTTCAGTCTGAAGAACTGAAGAATCAGTCTAAAGAAAGATTGTTTTGTTACTGTCTTCAGCCCATCTCTTTCCTGCCCTGACATTTCACTCCATTTACTGACTGTTCATTGTCCTGAGCTGAAGGGTGACAACTCTGAATATGGCGAGTGTTTCAGACAGAGACTGCAAGACTGGCACTTTTAAGTCATTGGTTTGGCACGTGACCCAGCTGATGTATCCAAGATAAACACTGTTAAAATGAATATGAAAATGTAATGGCCAAGGAAAGTGACGGATCTTTATGTCTCACTACACAGTTGCTCTCAAAGTTGCGGAGCAATTGGCGGCCACTGCTGAAGCCATCCTCTTTAAAGTTTATACATACTTGCCTCTGTTGAAGCTCAGTAAATTGAGATTGTTAGACATGGACTTGCACTGGTTGTAAAGACTGTCCTATAACCTTTTTACATCACAGCTGTCTCCAGGTCGAACAGTACATCTGAGCCCTGCAGGTCCCCAGAGCTCATTTGAGGGCCAACATGTCAATGTCTGGGGCCACGACCATGCAGCTTTTCACCAAGATTGTCAAGCATGCGGTGGGCAAGGCACAGATCCAGCTCAACCGCTGGCTGCAGAGAGCTACCACAGATGAGTGTGATAAAATTGACATCCTGATATGCAGCACCTTTGATGAAAGAGGGACTGGCATTGGGAAGTCAGATGGAGACCCTGAGGTTATCAGCGACACAGGGGGGACGACCTTCACCAGCAGTGGAGAGTTCAGAAACCCATGTTGCATCACCACCTTTTGCTTCAAAAGCACCCTGCTGGCATGCATCCTGACTGCTGTGTGTTTCTCCTCAGTTGCCCTGGTGCGCCAGTACCTCAGGGACCTCCTGCTCTGGGTAGAGAGCTTGGACAGCCTCGTCGGAGCCTTGCTGTTTATAGTTGGTTTGATTATTGTGTCATTTCCATGTGGATGGGGATATATTGTTCTTAACGTGGCAGCTGGCTACCTCTATGGCTTTATGCTGGGCATGGGACTGGTCATGGTGGGAGTTTTAATAGGAACCTTCTTGGCACACCTGGTGTGCAAACGCTTATTGACTGACTGGGTGCTGAGCAAGGTTCAGAACAGCGAACAGCTCAGTGCTGTCATACGAGTGGTGGAGGGTGGAAGTGGACTTAAAGTCGTGGCCTTGGCGAGACTCACCCCCATACCATTTGGGCTTCAGAATGCAGTTTTCTCGGTGAGTATGAAAACATTACTACCAGCTGTTCCATTTCACTTTAGAAGGACATTAGACTGCCACGATTGTCCATTATTGGTTAGCAGAAAGGATAGCACAGTGGAATGTTTATAAGGAAGCATTGCATGTAAGTGATTGTCATTTTAATTGTGAGTGAATTTTGGACATTTACCATAGTGGTTGACAATGTTATTTTACAATATAAGGCAGTCTCATAGTAGAACTGAAAATGGAAGGCCAGTCCACAGAGAAGGGACACTTGTTCTCCGTATAGATAGAGGAAGCACTACTGTGAAATTGATTCTGTTGCAGTCTAAGGACATCAGTTATAATATCAGTGGGAACTTTGAAATTTGAGTTGTAATTGTAACCTTTTGAAGTCACTGTCATTGTTCATATTTGGAGCATTTTTTCTGAACTCAATAATGATCTGGTGATATTATCATCACTCCTTGAACCGCCACCTTATTGTGGTGGAGGGGTTTGAGTACCCGAGTGATCCTAGGAGCTATGTTGTCGGGGGCTATATGTCCCTGGTAGGGTCTCCCAAGGCAAACAGATCCTGGGTGACGGGTCAGACTAAGAGCAGTTCAAAAGCCCTTTATGAATAGATTAAAATCAAGGACCATGACGTCGCCTGGCATGGCGCAGCCGGGGCCCCACCCTGGAGCCAGGCCCAGGGTTGGGGCTCGAATGCGAGCGCCTGGTGGCCGGGCCTCCCCTCACG